AGTTAATTAGTATTTTTCTTTAATAAACACACATATTTTATCTTATATCTTATCTTATTTTCTTCTTGCTCTATTGAAAGAGCATTTAGTTAGAAGTAAATTCACGTATATTATCTTATTAAGAAGATAATCATATTTTTATTACAAGTAAAACACGTATAAATTATCTTATTGAGAAGATAATCATATTCTATCAGAAGTAAATCTCATATACCTCACCTTATTGAAAGAATAATCAGACGAATAACCACTTGAAGCTATAAAAGTTAATAACTATTGTGAACATAGTCACTATTACCATTTTAAAATAATTACATATGTATAATCTTAAAATGGTAATACTATTATCATTTTAAAATATTTATATATATACAAACTTAAAATAATAATAATATAACAAATTAGTTTCTGTATTACTTTTCTTAAAGATCAATTTCATTCTGAATATACAGATATTTAATATATTAGATTTAATATATTGTCATACAGATAATTATCATATATACATATATTATTAATTTACTCCTATCTTGTTGCTGGGATAAATCTATACGAAGGCAAGTTTGAGCTCCGACCAGGAAAAAATCACACAGGACCCAATGGACACGGACCAGTCGATTTCGCAATAGACCTGCTCCGAACCCCAAAAACGGTTGGCGTGACAGAAGTAAAAGATGAAGATTTTTACAAGGGTATTGCTCAGAATGCCGTTCAGCTCGAGTCCGCTTTATCAAACCGTAAACGTAAGGCGAGCGAGATGGAGGAAGATAGTGTGTTCGTGGGTAAGGTATTCGGAATTGTCACAGATGCGGAAAAGTGGTATTTTATGGAATGTTCACTCGATGATCAAGACAGGCTAAGATTCAAACTATCGGAGCCGGTGTTCGTTGTATATAAGGATGAGAATGTGAAAAACATGGTTAGGAAAGTTCTCGGGCATATTGCATGGTTGTTGGAGGAGGCACAAAAGCCGGATTCAGATTCACGAAGTGAAGAGAGGGTAATAAAAAAGCATAGGTCAATAAAAAATATTAGTCCGCAGTCGTAGTATAGAAGCGTCATGTATCCCGGGCAAAGTCCGGACCTTTGTGTTTGATCGGCGTGACAAATCGTCACGCGTGATTTCTTTATTATTTATATATCTAACTCGAACTTTTGAATTATTCCATTTTGTATAAAAAAAAATCAAACATGCAATCTGAGATCGATTCGTTGAGAGAAGTAAATTCGAAGCTCTTAGCCGAGATTGCTGAACTTAGAAAGAAGAGTGCCGAAGTCAAGGCTGAGAATGTGAAATTAAAGCATGCTTTGGAAGAACATGAAGCCAGATTCACGAACAGAAAGATAAAGGAAAGACCACCTTATTGCTAAATTAGATGTTGATATCAGGGAATGAAACAGGAACGCTGTTGATATTTTGGCATAAAGCAATACATCCATACCAAAGTCTCCAATTCATTCAATAACAAAACACTATAAAATCGTTATATCTGTTATAATCTACTTATAATCGTAAAATTGATATAAACCGTTAAATATGTCAAGAACTCTTATTAACAGACCAAGGCCTAACAAGTGTATTGATACTATTTTAGACAAGGATTATAATAAAATTGTGCCTAAACCGGTTAATAATCGTCCTGGATTTGATATAAATTATCTTAGAGTGTATGTTATAAATTACAATTGTTATTAAGCTAATCAATTTGAAAAGGTTCTTGAGGTGGAAAAACGATTTGATAATTTATCTGTCATTAGATCTCATGAAACTCCCCAGCAATGGGCTATTCGTGTGAGAGTTGCTTTGCAAGCATTGATTACTGAAGAGAAAAAAGAAAGCTTTTATCATATATTCTGCCTTTTCGCATCATTCGGACAGGGTAGACCTAGAGTATTTGCTTCGATTGGAAATTGGTATAGATCACTGATGTAGAGCCAAAAAAGACATATGGATATCAGCTTTTCATTATGCTCGTGATATCAAATTGTCAAATTAATGAGATTTTAAGTTGCAAAAGCAAAATTGATCACAATGTAAAAAATTTCACATAAAAATTTCATTTAAACTTTGTTTTTTAGAGGTGGAATTTTGATTGATAAACTGAAAAAAATAACTTTTTTGTAAGTAATTGGTGTAAAAAAAGTTAAATAATTCTGCGAGAGCCAGCGAGAGATTTGATAAATTCGATTTGTGTTCTCGAACACATGTGATTTGAGTTTATCTTATTTTATTAAAATGACCCGTTGGCATTTTTGATTTAAAGCTTATAATTTTTAGAATATTAAATATAGAAATTTTTATAAAATTATTAATATACAAGTTATCTTGTGAAATATCAAAAAATTCATTGATATTACCAACAAATTCATGTAACTTGAAAACTATTAAGAATATATTGATATACGCTTCTCATATATATATATTCATATTCTTTATTTCTAGTTTAATTTTTAATATATTTCAAATATTAAATATTAAATATTATTTGAAAATATTAAAGATAGCTTGTTATTTTTTAATGTAAATGAATAATATAATTTATATAAGAACACAAAGTTCAACTTGAATTTTATCACTTTTTTTAGATGCTCAAGATATTTCTCGAAGCTGTTGTTATATTATCTAAATATTTCTTTTTGAATTTTTTTTAATTAATTTTAAAATATTAATCATGGCAGATCTTTTATAATATAAATTCTTTAAAACATAACTTGATTCCAACCTGTAGAAGTTTTATATATTTTGCTTTTCCTAATTTTAAATGCATATTTGTCTGTCTGTATTTTGTTTCAAGAGGAATTATTATTTGATCGCAAATTTTTTCCAGATCTTTATAAAAATTATTGATCTAAAAGTGTCGCGTGATTTTCGTGACGGGGATGGGTTTGAAATAATAGTATTTGATGTATTACAATAAAAAAATATTAGGTGCAAGTTTTATCTTCGTTTGTAAACCCTCTTTACTTCAAGCCACGATCAATTAATGGCTGAGGAGCTATTTGATTTTTCGAAACAATAATATGAAACATTTTCACATATGATAGTGAACAACAGTATAAGCCATTCTCTGATAACACACCAATGGTAGTGATGCCCATAGCATATTTTTTAGGATTACGTCAAGAAATGTAGATTTGAAAATTACCAAGAGTCATTTGGGCAATCGTTTATCTTTGAAATCTGGATTTTCCAACCCACTTGGATTTGTAATCTAAATTTTTTCTTTGCTTGCAGGTATACGAAACGGGAAATCAAAAATCATCAATAAATCGTCATCATCACCATTATCATAACCCTTTACTATTATTATCTTTTGTTTCGCAAGAAGAGACTTGTGAACCGACCTAAACTTCCTCTTGTTATTACTCGAGTCTGAAATCATATATACCTATATTTATACGCAAGTTATTTTTGTCCGCCATTGATTCAATTATTCTAAATCAAATCAACGCATTATTCTCGGTGTTTTGCTTTTCTTTCAGTGTTCGAAAAAAAGTGGTAACGACGCTCGCCCCTCCATTAATAATAACACAAGCAAGAGAGTTTACTTTACTCTTGTTAAAACACAAGTATACAAAATGACTGAAAACACGAACGGGTACGGTAAAATATGGGTTTTTTCTGAATATTTCATATTATCCTTGGGACAAACTCTTGAGTGTTTCAAGGTCACTCCCCCTCGATCTCTATCTCTCAACCCCCAACAAGATTGGAGGATACAAGTAAAAATTTGGCGATTATGAAAGGTTTTGAAAGTTGATGAGTTCACTCTCTTCTTTTTTTCCCAATATATATATATACACACGCTTTATAGTATACTGAAGCACCTTGGTGTAACACCTCCCATCGCCTTGAGCCAACCGACGCCTAGAGAGTTTGAAGTTACAGATTCGTTACTTGAAGAGCTTAAAGAGCAAGGCACTTTTGAAAGCGAAGAAGAAAGCAAAAGACGGTGAGTTTCTTTCAAATAGTTGAGCATCAGACTTGATCACTAGAAATTTTTAATTGACATTATTTATACCTTGTCTTTACGGTTATAGTGAAGTAGTGCTTGGCAAACTTGATAAAATCGTTAAAGATTTTGTGAAACAAATATGTAGAAAAAAAAATTTATCCGAAGCTGACGCTAATGAAGCTGGAGGAAAAATATTTACTTTCGGTTCCTATCGACTAGGTGTCCATGGAGCAGGCATGTAATACATATATGGACTTAAGCTTGAATATTTAAAATGAGCGTTTGGTCTAATAAAAAAAATACTTTTTGGTTTGACAGGTGCCGATATTGATACATTGTGTGTTGTTCCTCGTCACGTAGTACGTGAAGATTTCTTCACCGAAATGCATGAAGCTTTGCGTTGTCGGAACGAAGTTACAGAATTGACGGTAACTATTTCTGATTGTTTAAATAAATTAAAAAACCAGCCTATTAATGTTTAATATAACTATAATGATTATTTATAGAGTGTAACTGATGCATATGTGCCTGTAATCAAAATGAAATTTCAAAATATCCCGGTAAGAACATAAATGTCTCAAGATAGTAATCAACTTTTTTTTAATAAATATAGAACTAAAAACTCACTCTGTTTTAATAGATTGATCTTGTATTTGCAAGCTTGGGAGTTTCTAAAGTCCCTGATGATCTTGATCTTCAAGATAATTCTCTACTAAAGAATTTAGATGAAACTTGTATAAGAAGTTTAAATGGTCTGTCTGTGTTTTATCATTTATTCTTTATTTTTTTATTTCCATTATATTAAGAATGTATTTCCTTAAATATAGGATCCCGAGTGACAGACGAAATCCTACGCTTGGTTCCTAATATACCAGCATTTCGGACTTCTCTGAGATGCATTAAATTATGGGCAAAAAGTATTTAAAATACAATGAACTTTTTCTTTTGTATTCGTTTTAAAACTCTTATTGTATTTTCGATATCTTATTATAGGGCGTGCCATTTATTCTAATATAATGGGATTTTTTGGTGGTGTTGCTTGGGCTATGTTAGTGGCCCGTATATGCCAACTATATCCTAACGCTATTGCTGGCGCAATAGTGTCTCGATTTTTCAGAATCATGTATCAATGGTAAGAGCACATTGATTTATTTGATCTTTTATAGTATAATTACGAGTAATAATATTCGTATGAACTTTTTATTTTGTATCGCGAAATAATAGGAATTGGCCACAACCAGTATTACTGAAGCCCATTGAAGAAGGTCCATTACAAGTCAGAGTCTGGAATCCAAAGGTTTAGAATAAGAAAATCTATATTCAGGGTGTTCTTTGATATTCTCACTCATGACCATTTGTAATGGCGACTTTCGGCACATTTTAATATCAAAATATTTTTTTGTTCGTCTAGTTATATCCAATTGATCGATCACATCTGATGCCTATTATTACTCCAGCTTATCCTTCAATGTGCGCAACACACAATGTTACATCTTCAACAAAAAAAATTATCGAAAATGAATTTAAAAGAGGTAAAAGACATGTAGATGTATATTTGATGAAGTTGTATAGCATAACGTATCTGATATTAATATAATTATTAATATATCTATATGTGTGTACGTAGCTGCTGAAATTGCCGATAAAGTCATGGTTGGAACTGGAAAATGGAATGAACTTTTTGCTAAACACGATTTTTTTATGAGATATCGTTATTATCTCCAAATTATAGCATCTTCGGATTCTCCCGAACGACAATTGAAATGGTAAATTATATCATTATATTAATTTATATATTTAAGTTTATTCGATATTAATTATAAGCTTATTTGTAGGGCTGGAATGGTAGAATCAAAGATTCGACATCTCATCACTAAACTTGAATTAGTAGAAAACCTTAGTCTAGCGCATCCCTTTGTAAATGGTTTCGAGAAAGTTCAATATTGTAGAAATGATCAAGAACAATCTGATATTGCATACGGAATGTTTGATAATAATAATAGTGCTGAAGTAAACACCGCCGCGCAATCACAAGATAATGTACGCCGAATATATACGACCACTTTTTACATCGGATTATTTATTGAGCCTCGATCAAGTATGTTCCTTTATACATATATAATATATATATAAAATATATAAATTTATTTATCTTATTATTTGATCAATTGCGAATTGTTGAGATATATAAAATACTCGTGCGTTTACTTTCTCTTTTATTATAGCTGGTGCAACCGCGCCACGACAATTGGATATCTCTTGGCCTATCTCCGAATTCACAAAAATGGTGAAATCATGGGACAAATATGATGAACAAACTATGGCAATTGTCGTTAATAACGTAAAACGGTATGCACCTTCATATAATATTATTTATCAAGGTTTTTTATGATCTTTAGCTATGGCTTTGATGTTGTAATCTTTTCTGCAGAAATGCACTCCCCGCCGATGTATTTGAGGATGGTGAGCCAAGACCGATACGGCGTAAATCACCGAGAGCTACTCCTGGATCACCGAGAGCTACTCCCGGGAAGGTGAAGACAGAAGATTCATAGTTGAATTTATTGTTTTTTCTTTTTCGTTTAATTCATGATCACTTGTTGATTAGCCCAGCTCTTAACAGAATAAATTCCTTAACACTACCACAACGGGAACGGAACAGCCCAACAAGAAGCGACGAGGCTCGAATGATACAGTAATGTCAGCATTCGATCAAGTTAATTTAAACAATAATGAACCAATTCTGAATGGATCAGAAAACCGTATGGAAAAACCTGATAATCATCCATCATCATCATCATCGTCTAATATATTGGCATCCACCACCAACAATAGGGGTGCCCCAGTGACGACTCTCTCTCCTGCTACACCTCCAACAGCATCATTTGACCAGCACGTGAGGCAGACTGTCAAGAGTGGTCCTTGATTTATCACCTATACTACTACTATTAAAGAAGTGAGTCGATTAGGGGGGCGATGTTCCCAATAGCTATGTGATGATCTTGTTCTAGGATTTTCTATTGAAAAGGGAGAGCAGAAAATTGACCTTTATTATATTTTTTTTTTTCGTGGTGGACATTATCTTACATATATTATTATTCTATTGTTATTCTTCGGCGCTCTACTCAAATTTGATTTTCCCCACAGAAAAAAAAACCCAAACAAAAAAACAAGATTTCAAAAAAAAAAACGATAAAAAAATATACGAAAAACTGCAGTACACACACTTATCAAATATAGACGAAATAATAATTTAGAGAGAAAGAGACGATTGTCGATAACCGTAAACCTGGGGATTCATTAATCAATATTTATGATATCACACACACTTTAAACATACACGACGATGATGGTAAGATAGCAAGCAGAGGCTTTCAAGAATGGCTGCAAAAGGTAAGAAAATGGGAGTGTTGGAAAATGCTTATTAATGGAGGGAATGTGTGGTTTTTTTTGTTATAATCAAACACACGTTGCAGGCAATCTTCAATATTATTTATGATGAAGAAACAAGAGGATACGTGATGATAATTTCCCATTGCTTCTGCCGCCGAGATTATATATTTATAAAACTTTGCTTTTGATTATTATTATTGTTATTATTATTATTATTATTATTTGTTGTCTCTCCATTTGTTTTTGTAATATATATTATTTTATATATTATTTTCTTTACTCTTTTTAGTTTTTAGTACTCTACGCACACTCTCTTTATTTAGTATTGTTCAACTGCAGGTTTTTCCTAGATTCTTTTTAATATATAGAATAGGTTTATGATAATAATAGCATCTTCATCATTATTAATAAAAAATGGTAATTATATTTAAATATCAAAATTGAATTTTCACATGATTGAGTTAAATATTTAGAATACATTAATTATAAAACAATAAATAAAGTATAGAAAACATATTCTAAAAATAAACAATAAATAATACAAACTAGCGCGGAGCCCAATAAAATCCAGCCATAAGTACCAAATAAGAAAGGATTAAAATCGAGCCTTTAAAATAATTGGATTTTCCTTCAATATAAGTGTAAGTTAACAAAAACACTGAAAACACGACCGCAAAAACATCCCATCGAGGAAACACAAGACTAAAATAATAGAAGACTTATTAGTGACATTAAAATATATATTTATTGTAACAAAATCAATGATAATCGAAATACCTAAATGTATTTTGAGGATTCGCTTTGACACCATCTTCGAGTTTGTATAAAGCCGAAAAAAGAACTAAAACTGGAATCTGTAATAGACAGACTTGCAACGCATATGCAGAACCAATCTCCATACTGAGTGCAATGTTTCCTTGTAGAGCAAATGCCATCGCGTTCATGAACTCGGTAACATTTGGTACGAGGGCGAATAATGTAAGTCCGAGGAACTTTGGATCAAGTTTACTACCTTCTTTACTATTTTTGAGCAAATCATCAACAGTATCAACCAATATTTCTGATGATTACAAATGTATTAAAAAGATTAATCATTTTTATAAGATTAAATTTGCGCTATAGCATCTATAATAAGAACCAAGTACGTACCGGCAATCACTGAATACAAAGCAGTGCAACTGAGCAACACTATACCACTTTTCAATTTACTCCAATTAGGAGAATCATGACCACCGTGTTCTTCCTCTTCTTCCGGTTCATGAGCATGTCTCAATAATGGTTGATTTTGTGCTTCAAAATTAGCAGCTGCAGCAGCTGCAGCGGCCACATCAGAAATACTATGCGATGGTCCAAGATGGATGATAGGTCCGGGCGCTGATTGTGGTCGAACATTTCCACTTGTCAGATGTGCAGAATTCTGATTTATTGTCGTTTGAGCGGGGTGAGATGGTGGCATTGAAGAATGATGAGAAGGTATTAAACTTTGCAACATAGTAAGTGGAATTGGAATTATTCGTTTATATATGGAATTACTACGGTTTATTGTTGGATCGGCTGGTTCTGCAAATGTGGGATGCTGAATAGGTTGCCAAAGAATCGCTGCGTGTGTACGAAGGGTAAACCAAAGTCCAATTAAATAAGACTAAGTGAATGTTAACACGAGTTAAATAATTATACTTTGAATTGCTTTAATAATGAATTCAAAAACTGGTAAAATTTAAAATATTTGCTTACTAAAAACAAAATGAATGCACAAAAATACATTAAAGGTTTTATCCTAGTCTGATAGTAAGAATCGGCAATGGGATTGGGTTGTTCATAGTGACAACTTTGACAAGATGGTCTGCCGCCAGCGCAAGGTTCACATATCACATCAAACTATATTACAAATTATTAAATGCTCGATTAATCTGTTTCCTTTTAAAAAGACAAAAAACGGAATGAAATCACTTACACTTCCATATATTTGATAGAATAAAGTGGGTGTGAGTGCTCCAATAATAGCCATAATAAGCATGGTTGATGTCACCCCTAAACGATACTTTAGTAAAGCTCTAAAGAGGTAATTAATAAGACGACGATAAAAAAAATAATATGCTTACCTGCGCTCTTTGCATTAAATCTTTGCTCCTTACGTTTAAAAGCACCACTAATCATACTAATCCCAGGCAAAAGTAACACACCGGCCATCAAACTCCCAATAATACTCCCTTCAGCAATTAGCCCTTCTTCACGTACCAAAGTAATCGCATACAAAATAATTTCAATAATACTACCAAAAGTGGCGTTAATCACTGCACCCATCCCCGCCGAAGACTGCGCGGAAATTGATGCAACAGCCATGCCAATAAAATAAGAAAGTGAGATTGTCGAGGCAAGTCCCAGTACGAAGATGGACAATGGCTGAACAATAAACCGGCCAGGGATCATCTCTTCAAGTACTTTGCTGTCAAAGATGGTGAAGAGGACGAGGGGCATAAGGTTGATAAAGATAATGTTAATACCATCGTAGGTATATTTGTAGTATTGCAATCCAATTGCCTTGTATGTGCATAGTAAGATTACTGAATGTGGTGATGCGGAGGATGAAAGTGATGAGCCGGATTTGAAGTGTAGTGATAATGGATGTTTTCGTAAATGTCGTGTGAGCACGTATGTAAGTTTGGCCATTGGGATGGAGACAACCATAAACCAACATAAAGCCGAAACAAGAATATACAAAGGAGCTACAATAATGATTTCAAGATTAATATTTAATATTTAATAATTAGCAAAAAATTATTTGAATCTGGGAAAAATCTTTGTAAAATTGTAAAATTTCATTTATTCACTTACCTACTAGTAGAAAGAACCAAAAATAAAAGACAATACCCGCAAACCCAATGTTCCCGAAATAAGATGCAAAAGATTTTCGCTTTTGATAACTTGGGGATGTCTGATTTCCACTATCCGAATAATTAGATCCACGTTCCAACAATGGACGATTCTCTGCTTCGTTATTGTAACGATGATCTTCATCAGTTAATCCAACATTATCCTCATAATGATCAAGTGAAACACCATTCGCATCCGTATAACGATTATCATCGTCGTTCACCCATCCTTCCGTGACCCGTTCAACATACTTTCCAAAAGGCCAAAAAATATAATAACTCAATTCTCGTAAAACTCGTGAATATCGCCATCCACCAAATGGCGTTAACAGTAAGAAAATCGACACTATAAACGATATAATTGCCAGCCACCAACCGAATACAAGTGCCCATAAAATATTACCCGGATAAAGATACAGATCGGTCGATGGTGTTGAATGCAGTGCTGAATTAGCATTTCGAATTATAGAACGTGATTTTTTGTATAATGCTGGTTTCCACAGAGGAAGACCGAAAGGATGCGTTATGTTTATAGCCTAAATTCGCAAATACGAGCACCTTCAGCCTTTACGTATATATTTATATATATATATATGCAACACGAGTAATGATTATCTAGATAAAAAAAACATATACCTCTTGTCTGTCTTTAAGAGTATATTCCCTATCACTATCACTAAATGGCGACATTTCACCTTCGTCTTCTCTAGGCTCTTCCTCTTCTGCTACTACATCGTCGTCTCGGTTTACGTCTGCACCAGTTTCACTAATGCTTGCATTTCTCGGTCTATAAGAAGAGTGACGTCTACGTGTACGTTTACGTCTCTTTGAGCTGTCAGAGTGGTCGGAAGAGTCTCCTTGAGAGGAATTGTTAGACATAACCTTTGACGACTTTCGTCGCGTTGATAAGCGTGGACGACTAGCAGAGCCTCCAGCTACTTGTGAAGAACGTGCAGAGGAATTTGCCGTCAAGGATGTGGGAGCCTCGTCAACTTGTTGCTCTTCCGGAACGTTAGCTGCAGGGTCCATTGCAAATTGTTGGTATTTACGAATTCCGGCATGATATAAATAAACTTAAAAATAGATTACGACTAAAAAGGAACAGAACAGGTATATGTATGTGATCCCTATGAAGTCATCATCATCTACTCCCTATGCCAAATCTGTCGTCAACTGAAACGTGAACGCGAAAATTTCTCTACATAAAAAGTTGATCAACAAGGCCAACAAGGCGAAGATGGACAGGTTCAAATATTATTTTTTCCAATTTTTGTAGAATTAAAGTCAATTGATTTGCTTATTTATAAATAAAATTTTTATAATAGCCTAGAGTTTGATTTGCATGCCTTGATTCTTGATAGTTTAGCGAATGCTTTGAGTAGACAAGTTGCATCAACAACTGAAGATGAGCTTTTTAGATTAGTTTCAAGGTGTCCTTCGTTATCTTCAAACGGTAGCTTTGAGGATGGAACACCCTCTGGAAACGCTGTTGCCATGGTGTGTGTTGAGAGATATTCTTAAACTCATTGTAATAAGATCATTAGCTTTATTTTATATTTTCAATTTCTCTTTTATTAATTTGGTATATAGACAAAATCATGTCAGCAAAGCATTTCATCATTAGCAATTTTCGCAGCAAACACAACTTCAACAACCCACCTCCTTGAAGTTTTACCACATTTACTCGATTATCTAAATCATCTTCCCGACTTTTCCTACGAGGAAACCTTGACATGGAAAGGTTTAGTAATGAGAAACTAAATTGTTTTATGCGATAATCTGCGTGTCTTAATAAAAATATGAATGACGAAATTTTTATTATTTCTCTATAAAAACCGAAAGACTATTCACTCCCCGATGAATTAGCCGGAAACTTGATATCTGAATTGCTAATTATTGCGATTCGATATCCCGATAAGCGAAATGAGATCATTGACTCTGTGTGGACTTTTCTAGAAACTCTGACAGGATTATTAAAAAGCAGAAATGGTACCCTAAAATTTTCTCAACTATGCCATTGCCAGAACCAATTAAGAAATGGAAGAAATACTGAATAATCAATTTTTCTCCTGGCGCTTAATAATTAATAAATTCACGTCAAATATTTTTTGCGGAAATCTATACAATCATCATCAACGACAACTTAACAACGAAATTAATAAATCTATTTATGCTACGTACGTTTACTGTGTGCAGAAAACATTTGTACAGTAATACTTCCATTATTTAATGGTTGTATCCGTGCGATTCAAACCTCCAATATATCATGGAATATACAAGATTTCATGGCGTTTTCAAAGAAAACTCATGATTTGGTCCACAATACTTCATTATCATTTATTAATGGGGCAATCGACTCGCTATTACAATCAGCAGACCCCAAAGAAGTTTATGGGAAGCGACTATTGCAAAAATATCAATTTATCGATTCTCCGTTATCCGCCAATTCTCTCATTTTTGGACTCTTCATTATTAAGAGAAATATCCTCTCGCGTATTATTCTGATTCTCACTAATAATGATTACGATAGCGATGATAAGTGGATAACAATGATGAGTTTTCCAGACGTATGGAATCTTTTGACGAGTAATCCGATTGTGAATGCTGTTACTCTAGAAGAAAACGTGAAGAAAGCCTTAAGGGAGACTTATATAATAGCATTAGAATACTTTACGGAGCTAACAAAATTAACAGATAATTTTTTAGCTCAGGGAAAAGAATATCCGATTGGAACGTATGCACGAGAGATTATGGCTGTTTGTCTAGTAAGTTCTAAATTCTATCTATAACTTGGATATTAATCGTATTGTTAATTACCGCATTCTTAATGTAAATAAGAATTTGGCAGGCGTTGCCAGTATTTATCTTCAAGAAATTGACGATGAATTGACAGGAAGGTTGACATCGTCCTTATTTAATGTTCCTCATACACCAGATGTCAAAGTTCAGACTGCGGCACTTGATGTCGCTTGTTTAATTGCCTTAAAGTATGGTTTTCTCGAAACAATAATATTAATTTCCGATTATATTATTCTCGCCTTTAATTAATTAAAATTGACATTATTAGTTTCAGGCATTTAACGGATCAGATGATCAGGGTAATGCGTAAATTCCTTACAACTCCTTCGACTATTTTCGAATTAGCTGTTGTCGCTTGTAACGATCTTACAATACAACAGTATGCAATTGATCGACTTGCTCATTGTCTAAAGGTGCATTGCATATTAAAAAATTTTTTTACGAGTAAAAAAACACGATTTTACAGTTGCATTAATAAAAAATCTTGTGAAAAATTATCTAGGCATCAAATAAAGATGCAGATTCAGTTATTCACGCGTTTAATAACATGCTTATTGCGAGTGGACATGAACGTCCGCCTGTATCTCCGAATTTATCAAGTAATAGTGATGAAGTCTCTTTGGATAGCACATTAAGTGGATTCTCACGTAACGAAGAACAACGACATCAAATATCTGAGAATATTGTGTGTTCTATTGTCGGGATAACTTGTGTCTTGCGAAACGATAATGTAATTTTAAACATAACAAGAAAATGATTTGACAATTTAAATTTCACTATGAAGTAACTAATTTTTCTCTTAAATTCAATGGTGGAAAGACTACTAAGTTAGCAGTGTCCTTGCTCAAGCAACGACTTCACTTTGGTAATCCGTCTCTTGATGTCCTGATACTTGATAAACTGGTGGAGATTGCGTTAATAGGTCCGGAACACGTATTCCTTGATATAACCGAGAAATTTAATAAGATTAGCATTCAATTCATATTTTCACAAGAGAACAAAATTATTACAACTGAGGTAAAAAAAGTTATCGCTTTTTATACGTATTTTTTGGTTTGATGTTTCATCGAACGTATTTTATTTATTAATGTCATTAGGTATTGAAATGCCAACTTAAGTTGGCCAAACGAATCAACGCACGTCCGGAATTCTACGAGAAATACATGACGAAAATATTATCTCTATTTGTAGAAAAAGGCGTGAAAATTCAAGATACAGTATCAGAAAATGGAAAAGTAAAGGTATTTGGATATATATTCAATTCCTTTTACACGTGCACACACACACACGCGCGCGCGTATATATATAATAACCATATATTATTTGTCTAAAGGTTACATCTTTAGCCGCAGAACTTGGTATTTTGCTTCCTGTTCTCAAAGCACTATTGGCTCACAACGACTTTAAAGCCCATCAAAACCTATCTGCAGATTTAGTTGCAATGTTTCGTAATGTTTGGTTTCATTGTGTTCTGTGCGGATTCGTTTCTGAGACGACTTGGGTACGAGAATGGCATGATTGTTTAGTTGCAATCGCACAAAAGACTCCGCCCTTAGTGCTTGAAAGTGCGACAAATTATCTGTCAAGTGATTTACAATATAATTCGGTACTGCGTAGGGGAAAGTCTGATCAGGTTGATTTTTCTTTCTTCTGTTTGATCGTTTCAATATTATTATATTCAAAGTTTTTGCCTATAATATTATTTTTCATATAACAGGATCTCACTTCTTTACGCAATTCATTATGTGCATTTCTACCTAATCGTACATACGAAATTCGTAACTTTACTTTACCCGAAGTTGTATTCTTACTTTCTGTGTACCATATTGAAACCATGCGAAGTCAATTGGGCAAATGCTCGTTTGTGCTTCGGTATTTTATTAATCAAGGAGTGAATGAGAGCAAATTGGCTGGTTGCATGGAAGAAATTGGAGATCAGGTTTTTTTTTGGGATATACTTTAATTTTGATATTTAATTATCTTATAATTAATATTAAAAATGTTGATATTCAATAGGCTATGAAAGTGTTTATATCCGAATGTACTAGAAGAACAATTGCACACACAATCGACAGCAATCTACGTGTTCAAGTGCGAAATTTGATGATTGGTGCTTGTCATCGTCTTGAAAAAGTGCATCGTCTCTCAATCAAATATCTTGACCAGTTAATCACCACACTCCCATTACTCTTGTGTGATAAAAAGCTTTTGTTCTTGTTGTTGGAATTGATCGAGTTGGTTTGGCAAAGTTGTGAAGCTGAATATTCGAACGAGGTAAAAAAAATAGCTTATTTAAATTCAATCAAAAAGAAAACACAACATACAAAACTGATCATTTGTTTTTCGCCAAAACAGTATAGTCCTGTATATACATTCAGTTCGCTAAAAGTTGGTGTGACATTAGAGTTTCCGGATACTTATAGTTATCGGAGAGAAATGCTTTCCTCATTATGCGAAAACGCCAAAAAATGGCTTACAAATGCAATGCTCCTTGCTCCTTTAGACATCCGCGGGATTATAGAAGTACGTGTATCTTCAAAACATCTAAAACCTAATTCAGCACATGTTAGATGTCATTTTATATTTTATTTATACTTTATTTATTTTAGATTTATCTTGCAGAGTTTGATCCATATCAATCAATGAATCCTAATCACATGGGCCGTTCAATAGCCCTGGAAATTGGCAAATCTTTTTCAAAAATCGATTATCTATTTGGTATTTTTGAAAAATCTATATTATTGATTTTTTATTTTCTTATATAGAATCAACTTTGCATTATTTTTTTATAGGGACATTACCTCGTATTCCTGGTGCAGTTGTTGACAATCTTTCAGATTTTATTAATGATTATTCTTCTCGACGATACTATCGCGGACAAATTGGAGGTTTACAACATTGGACGGAAGTTGACGCGTTGAAAGGTTATTGTTTGAAAAGAATGATAATTGCAATTTATGTACGAATTTAATGATTAATCTCTTTTTTCTATTCTAATCAAAGATTCCGAAGGCTCCCACTCGCCGCCCATCATGAATCTCGATGATATTTTGGAGCAATTTCCAAAAATAAAAAAGCAATTGGCTCTTTTAGAGAAACGTGTGATATCTGGAACCCGTGTTTCTTTAAAAGAAGTGAATAATACTCTGCATATAGCAGCCGCAATCTTAATTGCTTTGTCAAAGGTAAGTAAAACCATAATTCTGGAAAGGTTTTCATTTTTCTTCATGTATTTGAATCATTGCTCATATATTTAGGTGGACGAGGATCTTATCCAATATGTTGTCTGGATTCCCGTGTACATATTCACGCCCGAATCTATGAAATTAGCTACACAAATTTGGAGCTGGATAATTACAGAAAACGCAGTATTCGAAAAACGTATCATGGTTGAAATAGTGAATAGCTGGGTTTGGGCATTGAGACATCGTAAAGGACTGTTTTCTAGTGCACTTGAGTAAGGATTTATAATTCGACTCGTTTTAATTTTGGAGTATTTCGTGTGTATTTCGGCTTGATTAATGGTTTTTTTTTTAAGCGTAAAAGATCCGTTTGTCAACAAAATGTTATATGCTCCTTCTGATAAGAAAACACGAGATAAAACATATCAAATGTCCAATTACTTGTTTGGACCTCATATAATCTGGATCCAATTCTTATCTAGCCGATTTCAGGCTGTTCGATATAGAAGTCCCGAAATTGTTACTCTTTATCTTCGACTTTTCCAAATCACCCTTGATGCTTGCGATTCTATGAGGTTTGTTTCCAAATTCGAGCTGGACTAATGATATAAATCAAAACTTGCCAACTTATCAAATGTTTTACAGTAACCATGCTTTGTCGAGAGAAGCTCGATTTGAAATATTATTACTCGGATTCAAAGTACTACAATCTAACCGCATGGAAGCGCTAATAGAATATCAATTTCGATCACGTTTATTTCGAGCGGCTTTTGCTTGGTTTTCTTTACCGCCAAGGTAAATTTAATATTTTAAGTTCTATTTTATTTTTTTTTTGTTTGATTAATTTCAAATTATCTATATTATTATAAATTTCGATAACAGATGGTCGTATGGCGGTAATAAACGAGCCACGCTAACTGATTATAAGTTGCTTCTTGAATTCTGCCAAGTAGTTGAGGTTGACAAAGTAGAGATGGACGAGATATTTTCTTCAGCACCTAAAAAAAATACGCAGGCAGCTTTAACTAGTGGTTCTCTAATTTTTATTGCCGGTAAGATATTAATTTTATCTAATCTTCATACGCTTTATTGATCAAATATTATACCTATTTATATAGATAAGACTCGAGAAGATATAATAAAACAAGCAACACAATCCAAAAAACTTTTATTATTATTCTTAAAAAGTGAGCTTGGTAGGCTTGCTACATGGAGTAATCCTTTAAATGTCACGGATCAAATCAAAGACATAGTTGTATTCACCATGGACAAAACATTAACAGATGTATGGGATAATATCTTGATTTTTTTATGGTAAAATTTGATGTGTATAATTATTAAAATTTGTTAATTTTAAAGGAAGGATGGAAGCAATTAATACGTCACTCTTGGAATATTTCCCCACAACTTGCTGTCCAACTACCTGCGCGTTTTCAACAACCAGTAGTGCAAAATGAATTGCATGCCCTTATTGCTAATAATACCGCTGAAGCTGTTGGTGTGGCAGAAGCTTTGCCTTTATTGTTGGGCGAAAAATTAGCGCAAAATATCACATCTCAATTAAAGGTATTTCAATTCATCAACTTATTAGTTATTTTTACTTCATTAATACAAAATTCTAAATCGATTTTTGGTAGTATTTACTTTATTGGGCACCAGTACCGCCAATCACAGCCATTACATATTTTTCCCCTTCATATAACAATCATCCTATGGTTTTACAATATGCAATGCGAGCTTTGGAATATCATCCTGTAGATGTCGTGTTTTTCTATGTCCCCCAGATAGTTCAAGCATTACGATGCGATAATCAAGGTGCGAAAAATCTGCATAATAAATATCCAGCGCCGATCACCTATCTAATTATAAATACTAAAAAATAGGTTATGTTGAAAGATTTATAATGAATGCTGCTCGAATATCGCAACTTTTCGCGCATCAGATTATTTGGAATATGAAAGCAAACATGTTCAAAGACGAAGATTCATCCATTGTAATTATCAAATTATTACCTGTTTGATATTTTATATGAATTTTATTAACAAGGTTACATGACTTTAGCCAGATACTTTAAAACCGACTCTCGACCGTATAATTAATAACATAGTGGACTCTTTATCTGGAGAAGACAAAGAGTTCTTTGAGCGAGAGTTTACATTCTTTAATAATGTCACTTCGATATCAGGGAAGCTTAAACCTTATATTAAAAAGTCTAAAGAAGAGAAAAAGGTAAAAACTGCGCAGATTTTGTTTCTTACGGTTACAAGTTTTCTGTATTAAAAATATGTATAATTATTAATAATATACATAGCAAAAGATCGACGAAGAGATGAGAAAAATCAAAGTAGACGTTGGTGTCTATTTGCCTAGTAATCCGGAAGGAATTGTCATCGATATCGATTACGATTCTGGCCGTCCTCTGCAAAGTCATGCAAAAGTATTATCTATCTATTTATATATCTATATATATTTAATCTTGCTTTTTAACATTATATTTTTATTAATTTTTCTTTTATAACAATCAGGCACCGTTTATGGCAACTTTTAAAATTCGAAAAACGAAAAACGATTCGGAAGAAATCAAAGAATCTCTGATTACAAAAGGAGATACAGAGGGACCTTACAATTCAAAGGGCGAAAAAACTATTGATGTTTGTCAATCAGCAATTTTCAAGGTTGGTGATGATTGTCGACAGGACGTGTTGGCGTTACAGTTGATTGCTATCTTCAAGAATATATTTATGAGTGTTGGACTAGATTTGTATCTCTTCCCGTATCGAATTGTCGCCACTGCACCGGGAGTACGTCTTATTTTTTTTTATTATTACCATACTTTTTTATGGATCTTCAATTAATCCGTTTATATTATTGTTGGTAGTGCGGTGTAATTGACGTAATCCCAAATTCAATATCTCGGGATCAATTGGGACGAGAAAAAGTTAATAGTCTTTATGAGTAAGCTTCAATTTCTTCAGCATCTCCTTGTATAAACAATTTCTTATTGTGCTTTTTTTGGTTTTTTGTAGCTATTTTTTGACTACTCATGGAGGATTAGATTCGATTAAATTTCAAAAAGTAAGCTCAATTCTAGTAATGTTTTTTCTGTAATGTATATATTCTAAAAAAACAACCTCGACTCGTAATTAATTATATCTAGGCTAGAAATTGTTTTATACAGAGTGTTGCCGCTTATTCCGTCGTGTCGTATCTTTTACAATTCAAAGATAGACACAATGGCAATATCATGTTAGATGACGAAGGACATATTATTCATATCGGTGAGTAGAACTCGAAGAAAAAAAGTTATGATAGCATCATTATTAATACCGATTCATTATAATTTTTAAATATGATTATAGATTTCGGATATATCCTTGAAATTGCACCAGGCGGTATCACATTTGAAAGTTCACCATTCAAGCTCACCACCGAAATGATCCAAGTTATGGGTGGTAGTGCAGATGTGCAACCATTCAAATGGTTTTCCGAACTTTGCATTAAGGCTTATTTAGCATCAAGGTAGTAAGAATCATAAGATTCTTCTCTCTCCTTATTTACCACTCAAAGTCAATTAATCTTTTATTTATATAGGTCACACGCAGAACAAATTATTCAATGTGTTGCATTGATGCTTGGATCAGGTCTTCCGTGTTTCAAAGGAGAAAGAACGCTAAAGAATTTACGTGCGCGTTTTCAACTTGACAAAACGGAACGAGGCGCAGCTGATTTTATGATTGAACGAATTAATCAGTCGTATGAGAATAGAAGGACTGTGTGGTACGATAGTTTCCAAAAGGCAACGAATGGTGAGTTTATCTGTCTATCTTCTATCGCAATTGTTATCTTTGTGAAATAACGTCTGATTGCTAATGATTTCTTATAAATTATTTAATAGGCATCCCTTATTAAAAAAAATTTTGCAGGAATTGTATTTAATTGAACATTAAAAATTTTATTTTTATTACAACCTTTACTCGAAATCAGCTCTAATAATACTGTTAGAACAAATCTCGCGTCATTACTTTTAGCTTTAAACTAGTGATCCTGGTTGATAACAAAAAACCAACCGACTGATCAAAAATTTTTTGTGTAATATTCCATATATAGAATTAAGAATAATAACGATTCTTTTCCAAACGATAATGTTTTAAATTTTCGAGTTGAATTTTTCGTTTTTTAAATAAGAACTATAATCAGGAAATGGATTAAATTTTCCTTCAAAAAAGTAAATCATGAACTGTGTTTGAATGAAAGTACAAAGATGATGATTTAAACTTGTTTAAGTGAAGGCAAATATATATTTATAATAATCATTTATCTTTATTAGAAAATAAAAAAGCTTGATTTATAATGAAATCTTTTTTTAAATTATATATTTAATTAAAATTCTTTTCTAAGTATAATTATTTTTTATTTAAAAAAAGTTTTTGTTATTAATATTAGTATTATTATTAATTTAGTAATATCTATTTTTTTATATTCTTATTTTTTATTCTTAATTTAAAATTTTTTTGAAAAGTCCAGCACAAAAAGATTGATACATTAGATAAATATTAACAGATTATTTTTTCAAAATAAAATTTTAATTCTGTTTTATTTAATTAAGTTATTAGATATTGAGATTTATTTAAATGTAAAAATTTTTATTATATATCTTTTATAAAAAAAATTTTACTAATAATAAACTTTTTTTGAATTATTATTTCTTAAATTTTACTATATAAAATTTGATTAAAATTAATATAAAAATTATATAGTAAATAA